GCAACAGATTACAAAAAAATTGGGACAGTCTCCAAAAAGGCCTAGTCCTTCAAGAGCAAGGATGGGTTGAGGCTCGCCAATCTGCCAACAGATGTGTCAACGAATAATCCAGCACTTTGAGAACAACATTCCCCAAAGACAAAATCTGTCAAATTTGGGGCATTTCACCATCTACAGTGCACAATATAATTTAAAGATTCAGGGAATCCGGTCAAATGTTGGTGCGTAAAGGTCAAGGCCGAAGACCACTTCTGAATACGCATTATCTCCGATCCCTCACACGTCACTGTCTTAAAAACCATCATGAGTCTGTAATGGATATCCTGACATGGGCTCAGGAATACTTTGGTAAACATTTCAGGGTGATTGCAGGTGATAGCATGGCCTGCCTGCAGTCCTGACCTGAGAATGTGTAACACATTATGACTTACCCAAATTAAGTGCCCAAATGTTTAAGTGTTATTTAAAGAAAAGGTGATGTTACACAGTGGTAAACAGTCGACTCTCCCAAGTGTGGAGTGTGTTGCAGTCATTACAATTGAAATGAATATATATTTTCAAAAATAAATTAAATTCACCAAATAAAACATCAAATAATGTGTTAATAATGTATTTTCAATATAGAACATGGTAAGTTGAATTTTCAAAAAAGAAAAAAAAAAGAAAAAATGTGTTTTTGTTTTTTTTTGCATTTTCCATACTGTCACAACTTTTTCAGAATTGGGGTTGTAGGTTCTGTTCACCTTAACATTCGATGTCCTACAGTGTGTGTGTGTGTGTGCATGTGGATGTGTGTGTGTGTCTCAAAGAGAGAAGTTCAACGTACCCCACCATTTTTTATCAATTTGTGAGTTCTCTGTGTGTGTCAAGTTCACTGTAAAATCCCATCCACTTCAGTGTGTGTGTGAGTGTGGGTGTGTGGGTTCGGTCACCTTTAGGTGTCGTCTCCTCCTGTGGAAGCGCAGCAGCTCTTTGTGCTGGCGAGCGATGAAGTTGACAGCAGCATACTCCAGCAGAGCTGAGAAGACAAACAGCAGGCACACAGCCATCCAGATGTCAATGGCCTTCACATAGGAGACCTGTAGCAAAGACATGAATGTAGATTGTGTTAGCAATGAGACACAGTACAGTGAGCATGTCAGTATGGAGTCATCTTAAGTCATTTCCTTAGACATAATTCACAACTGAGGCATTTGCGCTTTTAAAATGGTGCCATGTGTCATAAAATATGACAATTCTATTCAACAATTCCTCCAAAGCCATAGAGCTGGAAAGAGATAAAAGCAGTCATCTTTTTTTCGCCCAAAATAATGTGTCACTGAATAAAAACACAACAAGGTTACATTTTAATGTATTGTTGCTCCTAATTCTTCACAAGTCTGCCTCTTAGAGCATGATTAATCTTCAATGACTAATGCCTCAGGACCAGTGGGGTCGGCAATTAAGATATGCCTTGATTATATGTCTTGAAAAAAATTAGGAAAGGTGAAAAAAAAAATTACACATCTGTCTTTCAACCTATTTCTTGGACTGGATAATTGAGTCTTAAATCCGAGCATTAAATATTTCCACAACACATTTTCATGTGAAGTGAACTGGTTAAATTCACATGATTTCGCATGATGGTGATGGTGATAGTGCAAAATACAAAGAGAAGAATATAGAGTCAGAAAGCACAGTGTAATGTGTTGCAATTTTTCAAAACTGACCCGTTAATGCATATGTCACAGTTAACTTAATTATAAGTTATATTAAAAAAACATTCAATGGACAACAATGACAGGTCCTGTAAATAAACAAGATGATATACATGGAAAATATACAGAAAATATACAGAAGAACCAAAAAATGCTTCAAACCAGCAGGGATACCTTTCCTAATGCATTTATATATAGAAATATCACAATTTAACAGTTTTAACAAGACTGCTTTTTTACTAACCCTCTCCTGTCAAAAAAAAGCCTACTCATAATAGTGGTGCCAGCTAGGTACACATGGAAAACAGTTCATGTAGAAAATAATAATAGATTCTGTAAATAAACACAGGTTTGGACAGACAATATAAGTAGGAAAAATATTATAATTTATGAGTTTGGAGGAGACATTTTTAATCTTAAATAACCATCTAAAAAATAGTCTGCATAATCAGCTAGGTATACGTTTTAGTATGTCTTAATGAAATTTAAATTTACAACCAGAAAGTTACTAATGAATAGGAATAAGTCTAGTTAGTATATACACATCCATTCATCCATCCATCTTCTACTCCTTTTCAGGGTCGTGGATTATATATACAATTTCCAATTATTTTAATCTCTAAGCAATATTGTATGATAAATAATAATAATGTAAATTCAGTGCACTAAAAAAAACATTCTATGTATATAATTATATGTATATTGGAAAGCCATATCATTAATTTAATCATGTTCATATCTGTAAATCAAGAATGCCAGCATTTTCATTTATATGGCAGTAAAATATCAGTCTGTATCACTCTTCAGCACAAATTGCATTATTAATGTGCATCACTTCTAGGGTCAAGGTTGTTAAAGAAGACAGAAAGAGACAGCAGAATCCTGATGAAGTGAGAGGGTGTGTGATAGATGGCAGAAACTGGGCTGAATGGCGGCATTTCTATCCATGACCGTCGCCAAGGGAGAAATTCCATGCACCAGTGTGTGCCGTGTGTTCAGTGTGTGCACGCTGCTGCACCTCTGCTGTTACAATGATTAGCATGACATCAGAATTGTATGGGATAGAGGTTGAGCAGACCATTTAAATTCATAGTTTAATCTCCAAAGAGAAAAAGAGAGTGAGAAATAAAGAGAGGGCTAAATTCCTTAAAAGTAAACAGTGCACAGATGGGCTTTATTGTAGAATTAATTATTGTTTATTAATTATTATTAATTATACTACAGCTAAATTGTATCATACACATTTCATATTGATTATGTTCAGTAGCTGAAAAATACGATACATAAACAGTTACATATGATTTTATATGCTGGCAAAGGGAGGCTCACATTTTGATAGATATACTACTCAGAATCATAGGTGCTGCTTCTTGTAATCTAACTCTAATCTAAGAAAATAAAAAATTCACGTTTCCTGGTCAATTTATATATCTATTAGTAATTAAGTACATGGTCAATTAGTAAGTCTTTATCATGAAAAGCGATAAAGTCTCTCAAATAACTTGGCAAGTCAATATCTAATTTGTCTAAGAAGTCCTATCAAAGACTCAGCAAGTGGTCTGAACAGCTACTGTTTTAACACTAGCTACAAGATATGTTCATAAATGCAGTCTTTTTAAAAGTTATACATATTCTCCAAATGAGAGAGAGAGAGAGAGAGAGAGAGAGAAGAGAAGAGAAGTGAGAGTGGAGTTCTAATGGAGTTTGTCATGACTGACCTTTGGCAGAGAGGCTCTGGAGCCCGAGCTCTGTGTTGTCATGGTGAGCACAGTGGTAATGCCCAGGCCCACACGAGCAGGAGCAGCATCCATGTTGATCCAGAAGGACACCCAGGACAGGATGACGATTAGCAGACTGGGGATGTACATCTGAATCAGGTAGTAACCCATCTGCCTCTCCAGATGGAAGCGGGCCTCGATGCATGTGAACTTCCCTGAAACACGCACCAGACAAATATGGTTATCATTACAGAGACACAATTTCCCTCGTACATGACAGAAAATATTAATAGGTGTGAATGAATTAAGCTGCACACATATTGAATGTAAATTGAATGCATTGTTTTTGACATAATGAATGTAAGGAATGTAAATAATATATGATCTTATGTGTTATAAATCTTATCTCGTGATATTATTCAGCCTATGTCTACCAATTCTAAACTTTTTTTTTTTTACCCAATTCTACTTCTTTAATTTAATTTATTATATATTTTTTTCTTTAATTTATACAGAGTTGTCACTTGTGGTTTTAGAATCTACAAAAAAGAGAATTCCAAAATGTTAAAAATGGGAGTATATTCTGCATACAATTTATTTGAGAGTATTTATATCACAATGAGATACGTATCCATGAGGGTTTCCTCCAGGTTCTCTGTTTTCCTCCAAACTCCCAAAAACATACCCCTAGGTATGCGCCTAGTGCGTGCAGACCCTGTTAACCCTGTGTTACTGTGGCAAGGAGCACTCATGGTGATCAAATTGAATGAAATTTTGTTTTTGTTTTGTTTTCATTAGTTTTTTATTAATTTTTTTTACATCGTTTTGTAACTTTTTAAGCAGGTAAAACGCTGATTTATTCATTTATTTTACACAACTGATAGCAGGATTATTCTCTCCTAACATACCATCTGACTTATTATTCATAATCCATTCATTGTAGCTAAATCTTGAGGTTTAAGTGCTATAATGCACCTGCTCCATGTGTCTATAGAGATTATGCTGCTGAAGTGGTGGCGATGTGTGTCAAGCAGAAATAGCATACGACAGTTCTGCTGTGCTGGTTTTTTTTTTTGTTTTTTTTTAATGTGACAACATTATATGGGAAAATATTGAAGCTGAGACACCATTTAAAGCATAATCACCCACAATATCTTCATATACTTTCTCCCACATTCCAGAAACCAGCAGCCTCAACAAGCAGAGAGATGTGTCAAATTACCGTTTCTGAGGAAGTTACAGATGTACCACATACAGTACAGGCAGAACTAGGTGGAAAACATTAACTGACTCCATAAAACACTTCTTAGCTCAAGGTATGCTACATTTCAGCACAGTGGAAATGCCAGCATTTAATGTAATTTGTGAATAATTCGACACACAGTATGGGTTCCCACTGAGAATGTGTTTCTCCAACAAGGCAATTCCAGGCCTTTTATAGTACAGAAATGCTTTGGATGCCTAAGGTTGAGGTAGCATAACTGCTGTGTAGAAACATTTTGTGTCTAAATCATTTTCCAAATTAAAACAAAAACAGCATGGCTGTTATTCAGTTTTCATCACACACTTTCATGGCATGTGAGGGGACACAGTGGCTTAGTGGTTAGCATGTTAGCCTCGTATCTAAAGGGCTGGAGGTTCAATTCCTGCCTCTGCCCTGTGTACGTGGAGTTTGCATGGAGTTTGGATAACCCTGTGCTTCAAGGGGTTCTGCCGGATACTTTGGTCCAAAGACATGCATTGTAGGCTGAATGTGAGTGGGTGTGTGAGTAATTGTTTGCCCTGCGATGCAGCACCCTGTCCAGGGTGTACTCTGCACACTTCGGGACCGTCGTGCCCTGAGTCACCTGGGATAGCCTTTAGGCTCCCAGCGACCCTGTGTAGGATAAGTGGTGCAGAAAATGGATGAATGGATTTTCATGCTATGCATTAAAACAACAGTGTAGTGGATTGGATAGGGAAATATACCAAATCCAATCTAATACCAGTTCAGCATTTTAGGCCAATATCGGTCCAGTGTCAATACTCAGTATCTGATTGATGCGTCCTGATTAATTTAAATTCATTGTAACACTACCTTTGCCGGCGCAATGATGAAAATTATATATAAGATCTGTCTTAGTCACAGAAACCCATTGAAGACAGGACAGAAAGAAGACAAACTATACAGATGCCAGAGACAATGTCGGCACTCAGCAAATCAAACAAGACAGCAGCTAATAAATCAGAATGAAGACATATGAATATCTGTAGTCAATGGAGAACCAAGGACCAGCGGTACAGCTCAAACGATGAAAATTCAGGGCCAGCTAGGGAGAATGTTTGTCCTTGAAGAGTGAATTAACATTTGTGGGATAAGAGAAGAGAAGTGAGGGGTGAAGATGGGAGGTGAAGGAATAGATAGGAGTGAGGCACCCTCAGGGTTTGCACTGGTGTTGTGCCATGAAGCTAAAATGGAGAGGTGAAAAGGGGAGACAGAGACAGCATATTGCAGCAATCTGCTCCTCAACCACATACAAGGAGCAAGTCAGCAAAAGACACAGAGAGAAAGTTAGAGAGAGTCAGAGAGAGAGAGATTTTACTCTGATCTCTTATATTATGCTATAGATGAAGCGCACACAGAGTGACATAGCTCAACTCTTCATAGACAAGCAGGCAGTTGACACTCATTTCTGACTCGTAGTTTTATCTCTCAACCAGTGTCAAACTAGGCCATTTAATTAATCCCAATTTTGATGTTTTGAACCTTCTATATATTTGACAAAATAATGTCACAAATGTGGTAATGCACACAAAAAACAAAGTGTACATTTGTATGGACCAGCTATAGATATATGTGACTACCAATTTTCTAAGACAGGACACAGATCACATCACTCCGCTGACCTTCATTTTTGCACAAATTCTACACCTCTTAAAGTAGCATTCCTGATGGAACAATACACCCTGTGTCCTTTCTGTTTTGCTATGTTTTATATTAGAGCCCAAGTAGATTAGCCTTCAAGTCTAATTCCCACTTTATCTTGAGGGTAACAAATCCTGACTGGTGAGAATGACCAGACAGATGGTTTTTAACCCAACTGAAAGACCATGAAGGAGAAACGGAGCATGGCCGTGACGGTTCTTCTGCCGCCAGAGACTATTATCTGTTTTCGGAACTGCTTGTAAAAAAAGAAAAGAAAAGAAAAAGAATCATAATGTCTCTACGTGTGCCTTGTGTATAGTGTCCCACACCCTGAAACATTCATGTAGAAAACGAAAAATACTTGAACTACATCATATTTTGAGATCAATACATTGTATAATCTTACTTGTCAAATACATCAGCACCCTTGCAATGATTATTTTGTGATGCCTGCTCTATGAGAGAATAACAGCACTGAGTATCTTCCTGTAATATCTAACAAGGGTTCACACAGGTATAGCGGGATCTTGGTCCACTCCTCCATGCAGAACACTTTAAGGTCTTTTATATTCTTAGGTTTGTGCTTGTAGACAGCCCGCTACAATCCACATCACAGGTTTTCTATATGGTTCAAATCCAGAGATGGGCACTGCAAAATATTGTGGGTCTGCATATATATACGTATATGTCTTTGCTGGTCTGGCACTCCAGAAATAGCAAGGGAGCTTCACGTGCACAATATTTCCAAGCCTCAGCAAGTGTGGGGTGGGTGCTAACCTGTGTTGTAGTGTTTGGTGCAGTAGCGTAAATCTTTCTCCTCCTTCAGGATAAACTGGGGTAACGTCAGTCCATCAGCCACTTGCACAGCACCTTTTTCGTCCCATTCAAATATCAGATCGTTCATAGTGTAGCCAACTGAAAACGAGAGGGGTAAACAAGTAGTAAATTACCACTTGTGTAAAATAATCTGATAAAAAAATTATAAAGAGACAAGAAATATTGTCTATAAATAAACTATAACACTGCAATTTTTACTACCACCTAGTTTTGCTAAGTGCCAGACCCCTTGAATCTGCTGCATCCCTTAGGACAATAACTAAAATAAGAGTGAAAGAAGGAGCAGGCAATAACCTGAGCTTGCAGCATCTTTCCACACACTCGACTTTAAGGTGCACGTAAATTACTGTGCTCCTCATTTCTTTCTACGAGCCAGCAAACATCCATCTCTGAGCCAGTGAATAAATCTTCCCCAACATTGTGATGAGCAGGGCATACTTACAGCTCTCCAACTGCATTATACAAGTCTGCACGTCCATCGGGAAATTCTTCAGGTCCATGGGACAGGCCAGAATCAGTGTTATCCTGTTAACAATCAGATCAGGCATTGCAAGCAAACATTACATTCTAAATGCAATTTCAGCCATTCCCTCTCTTATCTGCCAATTTCAGCGGTCAGAACTAACAAACAAATACATTACATATAACCGGTAAAATCTAAATGATTCTAAAGTGTTAGACAGTCATTTCTGTACATGCAGCTAAAGTTATTTATCCTGAACCTAATTTAGTCTAGAAATTAACTTCAGTGAATTTCACACATTTTCTACTCTCTCAGGATGACAGCATCACTACCACAGAATAAGAGCTATTTTCCAGCGTGCAATCAGAGTGTGCACCAGCCCTGATGCAATTTAGAGGGTGTTCATAGCCAAAAGCGGCCTGATTCGAAGTGTTCATCTGATGGTGTCAAGTTAAGAGATGATGAAATTCAAGATACTACACATTACTTTCCTGCCCTCAAAGCATACTTTAACCCCTTAAATTCAAAGGGTCCAGTCTTACATTTTGCACTCTGAATCACAAACCTTCCATATTAGTACATGGGACTGTACACATCTCATAATATGCTAGAGTATGCTACTTTAAATACAGTACTGTCCATGTACTAGTCCTACACTTACTTCAGACTAATCTGGAAAAACAAATACCTGTTTTTAAACATATTATAGTTTTGTTTTTTTCTCTCGAAAAATATGCTATTAGTACATATTTTAATGCCACTTTTTAATAATAGTACTTGCCATTAATTTGTCATTTGTTCTGATTTTTCTTTACTCGTGGGCTTCATGAGACCTTCATGAGCTAATCCACCTTTATTTAGTGATGTATACAGCAGTATTTACAATAAATAGGGCTGTCATAAAGCCATTTTCCCTTCTCTTCGGTCCACATGTACACCATATGGAGCGATTTGCTCGGCAGCTTGTGATTACAGTCGGTGCTACAGGTTTCCTGTCCTCAAAAGATGGGGATAGCCTCTTCTCATCTCATCTCATTTCATCTCTTCTGCCTGAGTGAGTGTATTTTTACATTACTAGCGCCCTTTTACGCATGCTACAGAACACCATGACGTTTTGAGTTGGCTTTCCCTCATCAGCCTTGCTAGTTTATTAACTATCGCTCAGCATGCTGTTTGCTACAACCTGCACTTTTGCAACTGCTGCGTACAGTTCTCCCTTGCCATACCATGTTTTGTTGTGTTCACTGCTAATTCTGCTAAGTTAGCTGGTTATTTGCTAATGCACAGACCTGATGATTGAGTTGGTTTTCCCTTTAAAGTGGTTAACCTAAAGCACCAAACTGAAAGACACATGCAGCTGGTGTCTGAATTCTTTGAAAGCCAATGATAAGCACCAGCTATGTGCTCACTGCTCATTGACCATCTAAAGCAGGGGTGTCCAATCTTATCTGGAAAGGGCTGGTGTGGGTGCAGGTTTTCATTCCAACCAAGCAGAAACCACACTTGAGTCTTTTGAAAGCCAAGATCAACTGATTAAACAGGTGGAATCAGGTGTGGCTCCTGCTTGGTTTGAATGAAACCTGGCACCCACAGTGGCCCTTTGCGGATAAGATTGGATACCCCTGATCTAAAGCATGCAATATCTGATACGGACATCCCCTGAACTGCCTGCGCTGCAATGACAATGTCGACTTACGACATCATGCTCAGCTGGCAGATTTAGACCCTGATTCAAAATCCAATCTGACTCAAGCCCTGAAGCCCAAATACTTGGCTAGTTTTTCCATATCTGGCAGGTGAATTCATGATTTGGTGGCAGACCTGGCTCAGCTGAAATCTCTAATTGAGAAGATGAGGCCATTCAATTCTGAGGGTCTGGATTAGTCCCTGCAGCAATCACAGACAAAGCAGTAGCAGCCTGAGTAGGATTGGATGTTACTAGGTAACCCACAGAACCAAATGCAATCTCTCGAATACTGGTTACAACTGAATTACACAAGCACTTTATTGAGAAGTATTAGCACAGGCAGCTCATCCATGGCCGATCTCTATGCCACATGTTTTAGCTAATATAAAAGATCCTGAGCAGGTCAGGTTTGTCCATAGGTCAGCTGTAAACAACTACTTCTGATCATTGATGAATATGTTGCAGTGGTACAAATTTCACAAAAATACCCGATCTTTTTCAGGGCTCATTGTCTTGTCAGAGCCCACCAAAATATCACACCACTCCAAAGTTATTGCTTTGAAAGGATTAGTTTTGAAGAGTTGGACAGAGATGCACTCATTAAAGTAGACACCAAAGTTCAACACAAGTACTTTTACTGAACTTACATCCTTGTTCAGAAGAAGGTTTGTCCAATTCATGATTTGAGAAGGTTAAACTGGTTAAAAGACATACTCCCATTCTGAATGTTAAAGTGGTCACATGTAGTACAAGCTGAACATCCACA